ACCAGACGGCTTGAGAAGTGATTAATACGCCGACCCCCCCACCCCCCCAACCCCTCCCCGCCCTCCGGCACATACAGGACCCACAGAGGTTTGGATGAAAACAGAAGCGGCCCTGTGCTTCCCCACCTGAGCTGATCAGATGTCAGGCCCACTCTTGCTTACAGCAACTGAAAATGAAGCCCCTGCCTTGTGGCTCATCCATCAATCCAATGAGAGGAAAATGAGCCCCGAGGACAGCAGGAAGGAGGCATATGCAATGTGTTTAAAAAAAACAAAAAAGCTTTTTTGACAGGATGTTTTAGTTCGAGTTCAAGCAAAACGTGTTGTGACATATCTGAGACATACACACACACATGCTTGGACAATTTCACTTGGTTTTCTGAGAGAGAATATTTATTCTCAGGAATGCCAATTACTGAAATGTTTGGATTTTTAATTTCATAATTCTGAATCATGCAAATATCCCCCGAGAATTTTCCATACTTTTATCCCAAGGTTATTTTTCCTCATCCTGGCTGCTGCGTGCGTATCGTTTGGCTGCTGTTGGAATCAGTGGACAGACCAGATGTGCTGTGGCCATTTCTTTGTCTTTCCTATCATTTTTTTCGAGGGGTTAGGGAGTTTATGAATATTATGGAATGGACACCCCGAAGGAACGGTGTACACCTTGTCTGTTTTGGCTCTGATTATTATATAACACGGGTACATAAACCGTCTGAGGCCAAGTGATAAACAAGACCCAGTGTAGAGTACAGTGCAGCTGGGCGCGTTAGAAGGTTCGGAGGAGGACAGTCAACCATCTGGGGAGGGTTTCACAGTCGTTGCGTATCCACGTGTGCAGCTGATGCGGTTCGCAGCGAATCCGTCTGTCTGTCGCTGATTCGCTGATCGAAGCCATCCGGGATCAGAGCTCCAGTCACACCATCCACATGGCGCAGAGGCCACGCTTTTCCAGGGTTTGCCCCCTCTATTTACGCAAGGCACCACACTAGAGCCTCTCGCAGTGGTAAAAGGAACAGACACCACCCCCCCCCACCTTTACACCCCTCGTTAACAGTCAGTGGCCCCATTTGGTACAGTGGCCATTAATATTTATGAGAAGAGAGATTCTTGCAGGGGTCAAAGGGTGATCTTTCAGGCCCATGTTTACTGTGGCTGTCAAGATGCTGGTGGGATACCAGTTGTTGGAGAGGGGGGGGGGGGGAGCAGATGGAAGACTGTGAGCCAAAATCACCCCCTGGGCCGTTCCAAGACGGTACATTTCCATTCAGCAAATCTTTCCCAAAAGTGTCTCATGCGCTGACACGGTGTCTCGCTTTGTTTATAGTCTGCACCCACAGTGGTCTGGGACGTTCGCTTAAAAATACGGTTCATTATTTTCTGTATGGGAGTGACTCAACTGAATGTCAGTGCTCAGCCGTCTGTGTTGCTGCCCATGTTTTTGTCATGAAAACACGAGCCGAGGCCTCTCTTCAGCGCCTGCGAATTATAGGTTACTTTTTGATTTGACCAATAAAGTGGTGAGGGCAGGGGATGCAGAACATTCATGTTCCGCTTGTCTTGGGAAAATAAATTAAGCAACTCGAGGTATTATGAAGCCTGTGTCGGTCCTGGAAAACAAAAGACTTTGTCGATTGATTCATCACTGAGCTGTTCTTCATATCGCTTTTTTCTGTCCAATTGACCACAAATTTAACTGGTTTTGCTTTCTCTGCAGTTTTATTGTGTTAAAATAACCATGACATGTAATTTATATTCTAGACTGCAGGAACTGGAATCAAACTTCTTCCATAGATAACCACAGACTTTTCACATGGTGTACCTGGAAGCGATCGCTATATGTGAGGTTTCTGTTTAGCACCCTAATTATCTCGATCGGAGGAAGATTAGATCACTCTCATGTTATTATGAATATGCTCACAGAAGACTTTCAGTGTTGTCACATTATTATTATTATGGAGTCACAAAACTTAGACATGCAGCAGCAGTAAGTAAATCAATGCACATTAACTATACACACATAGAAACCACATATGCTAAAAAGATGTTTGTAGGAATTCAATTTTATACTTTCATGTAAGCGTTTTTGCTCTTTTGAACAGAAATTTCCTAATAAATTTGCGTTTTCACTCATTCTGTGGCACAGAAAAGTCCAAAGTGAATGCACAGTTTTATGCCCACTGTATGGCACAGAAAGCCGCTTTGCATTTCAGGACAACAAATAACATTACCATGGTGAAGTGGCTCTGAATATCCTCACAATCCTACAAATAGAAGTCCTGTGAGTCCCTGGGAATCGCCTGCTAACGACATGATGATGGATGGAGCAATGCCAGCCAGTCCAGTAAAACGGCTTTATGAGAAAAACTTTAGCACCACTTCCTTCATCCTCCAGCCATAAAGACAGAAATAAGTATCAATCCGATTCAATCGTTCTTGAATACATTTTTTAATGTGTTTTTATTATATCTCACTTGCAGATTTTTGTAAATGTGGTACTTTTATGGAACTTTATTTGGATGGAGGGCAGTCCTCACCGCCTTCTTTGATATAATGTGTCTTTTGATTTGTTTACCTTCCCTGAGCTCCACCTCTCATGACAAACGTCCCTTTAACATCCCCCTTTGAGCATGCTCTTTAAAGTTCAATGCGTTCGACCTTGACGTTTTTTGGGGGATCCAGCCGCCCATGTTAGCCTCCCAACTCAGGACAATATCGTGTTTCTCTAAAATCTCCCCAAGTAGCCAATACGTCCCGATGGGGAGCTGAGAGCTGACAAAGGCCCAGAGTTGGACGCTTCTCTCGGCCCTGGAGCTCCTCCTGACCCGTCCCACCGTCCCCCAGGTGGCGTCTGTCACCGCAGAAGAAGACATTTTTATGATCTAATCAGCTGACGTGCAAACCTAGCGCATCAGCGAAGAACATGCGCCGTGCGATCGTCACACACGGATTACTCTTCGCTGCAGGCTGTGAGAGGCGCGAGGGAGGGAAAAAAAATGATAACGGGACCTTTTGAGCTCCAACGACTGTGGTGGGAGTTGAACCGAGAAGAGCCCACCCAAGTAGACTGCAGCAGGAGGGTGGGGGGGGGGGGGGAGAAGGCCCAGCTGCTGAGCGCTTCATCCCAAAAAAATAAAAGAAAAGCTTGAGCTCCCTTGCTTTATGTCCACGATTACTTAGAACATCATTCAGCTACTTCTAGGGCAGCTGTGATAGTGACTAAAAATTAACATTGGTGCGATGAAAAGCATTTTCTTTTCTACAATAAGCCTTTAATCCCTTCATTCAAATTTGTTTTATTTCAAGTTCAACCAAGACTCAAAGCCATATTTTCTCAGCAAGGATGCAATGTAGCTCAATGCTAATGCTAGCGTGCTCACAATGTTGACGTTGAATTGGTTTAAAGGGCGTCACCAAACGCATTAGGATTCAAGTTTAGGAGCATAGATAGTACATGCTAAGTGGTGTCCCCCGCATCATGTAGATGAATGAAATGAACTGTTCAAATGATCTAATGCTAAGGAGAGGAACTTCAATGCTTCCCTTATCGGCTTCTTTAGCATAGGAACCACTGGATCATCCTTTACAGAAAGGAAAATGAGATAATTCCGTTCGCCTTCGCGAGAAATAACAAAAGTGACCGAGAAACGCAGATCATGAAACTAAGTAACCGTTAGCATGACTAATTTATATTGCGGCCTGGTTGTTTGTTTCGTCTGCATGACTCTTACAGTCAAAGCACTTGAACAACACCTGAACGAAGAAATCTAAGATTTGCTTCTTTGTCGTTCATCTGAGAAATCCGTTTTTGCAGCTTACCTCGTCATGAATTCTCCTAACCATCTTTCCATGACCCCGTGACGTTTTCCACAGAGGTCAAGGAATAGTGGTTAGGAATGAGTGAGGAGGTCGTTTTGTTGACAACTCCAATACAGCGAATAAGTCTTTCTCAAATAGTTGAAGGAATCCCTTCTGGGGATCTGAGTTTTGAAGAAAGACCATAATAAAGTTTCACTAATCTCCTAAACTTCAACACTTTTAGAACTTTTTGTACTTTGTTAATTAAAGTCATACAGAGATGTTAATGGTTCTCTTGAGGTCTGGCCTCCAGGCGCAAAAATCCCTGGGTTGTTAAAGATATAACAAGCTCTATTTGTGTCCCTTCGGGGTTGTCCCATGTTTCCTCAAGTGTTACTGTAGCATTTTGGAGACCAGTCTGACAGCTAACCCGGGGAGGGAAATTTCCCTCGATGTATTTTATTTATGTACCCTTGATCCCACTGGCAGACACTTCACTTCCAAACTAACTTACGTCAAGAAATGAGTGAGCGCTACAGCAATTAGCATGTCCCAGCTCGATGCCATTTCATGCTGTATTAAATCACAAGAAGCCGTCCCCCATGCAAAAGTAATTAGGACGATATGTCAGAAATGTTCGGTCCAAGTAAGGATGAAAACACTGATGTGTGTTGATCGTGCAGGAAGTGAAGTGCTGGAATGCATCATTGCATTTGCTGAAAAACAAGCAGTCCCGTTTCACCACCTGGTCCTCAGCTGTGCCCTCAGAGCTCAACCCATCCAAGACAAGCAACGGCCATCTCGCCTTTATGAATGAGGCCAAGGAAACCCCTTCTCAGAGGCACAAGTGGAAGGAAACGGCTAATGTATATGCTGAGGCTCAGAGGAATCTGCTCCTGGGGGGGGGGGGGCGTTGGAACAAGGAAGTGTCTGTGTCACGCCAGTCGCTGTCTGGCTGATGGAACACAGACAAAACACTAAGGATTTTGTCTACGATCCAGAGAGATAGTGAAAGATAGACCGGGGGGGAGGTCTTTGGAAACACAGCTACTGGGACAGCGAGACGAGAGATTGCAGCGAGTTTGAATTGTGCATTTATGCCGCGAATCTCCAGACTAAGTTGAGTCAACCGGCACGTACAGTCTCTCCTGATTTTATCCCTGTGATTTTCTTTGAATATGTAAAGAAAGACCAATGCAAGATATCATTCCATTTTTTTTAATGATGTAAAAACAAATACCCCAACCCTGGATATAAAAATGTAAATTAACCTGAATTAAAAAAAAGGTTTCCAAAATAATGATTACAGAGCAAATGCTATAAAGATTTGGTCGGATTCAGGCACTTGGAACCACATACAGTCTTTGTTTGTCATGCTACACAAGAGAGTTTTTCTTTGATCCTTTTGCCCTCTGAAAAACGTCAGTTGAAACCACAGACGGAACAAAAAGCTGGTTTCGTAAAAAATATTCAGAAATCATTTAAGACCCAATGCAAGGTAAGAGGTAAGAAACAGACCTCCGTCACATATTAACCCTTCATATTTTTCCATACATGTCCACATTAGTTATGGCACAACATAAGAATAAAAAGTTATAATGGCTCAAATTAGATTTACGTCTACAGCAGTATTAATCAATATAACTTAGTGGAATGGTTTTGAAATAAGATTTGGCAAAAAAAAAAAGACTGAATAATTTCTTTTTTCTTTGTTTTTTTAATGATTGGCCCCAAACCAAGAAAAAGCCACATTGCTACAGAGGCACAGCGGGCTCCGATGAATGCTCCGCTTTCATAAACGTAAAGTTAAACGAGAAAGTTCTCATCCCATCCCGAAACGTCCACCGCTCAACTGCAAGGCAGCCACGTCTGATACGAGTTCCACGTGGCCAGGTGGGACTGAACCTGCGCCACGTAGTAGTTGCTGAAGTTGACGTCTCTGACGTAGGGAGCCGGCTGGTAGTAGCAGGTGATGTTGGACAGGGCGGGGATAGCGTTCTGCTCGGCCATCACGCGCAGCGCCAGGGCGGAGATCAGCGCCAGCGTTTGCCGGCGCTCGTGGCCCATCAGGCACACGGTGCTCTCGTCCACCACCCGCCTCAGCGTGACCAGGCACTCGTAGCGCTTGTGCTCCATGCCCGCAAAGTGGTTCTGCAGGTACGCCTCCAGTTTCCTCTGCTGCACGTTTATGTCGGGGAAGTCGATGAAGAAGCGCGAGCACATGTAGCGCTGCATCTGCTTCATCTGAGTCTCGGAGGACGGCCGGAAGCCTCGCGCCAGCAGGTGGCAGTACTTGAGCAGCCCGCCGCCGCGGATCTCCTCCGGGTTGCGGGTGGCAATAGTTCTGGAGCGGAGGTGACCCAGAGCTTCTTCGAAGTCCCCGTACATGCTCTCGCCCTGCACCGTAGGGTGGAAGGCCTCGGACATGGCCGTCTCCGAGCAGCGGTCGAAGAGCAGCAGGGAGTCCAGAGTGATCTGGAAGGAGTCGACGCTGAACTCAAACTGCCTTCTGAGGGAGTCCACGAACTTCAGTTCCACGTTCTTGCCGGTGTTGTTGGACAGCGAGATGAGGCTCCACCGGTCCGTCTCCTTGCAAACTTTCACCAGTTTCTGCACGTACGCTTCCTTCAGGGCGAGGGGGGTGATTCGATCCCTGCACACCCCTTCAGGCAAGAAGTCCACCAGGCAGTCCAGAACCACGTCCATCACCACCCGGAAGGTGTTGTCATCGGTGAGAGTCAGGCCGAAGATCAGGTCCAGGTCTTTGTAGCCAAGGCCATTGTCCTGGTGAAGCACGTGGCTGGCCGCTGAGCCGTTCAGCTTGACGTCGCACACCACCACGCCCCGCTCCTCCAGTCGGGCCCTGACCACCTGGAAGGTACACAGACAGGGAGGAAACACTTAATGATGGGTAACCAAAGAAAGAGGACACTGTAAATACGAGAGTCAGAGAAAGTCTGCGGCAGATTCCTAAAGAAGGCAGACCTTCGGTATTTCGCTTAAGTACACTTTGACGACAAAAGTGGCAAATTAGAGGCTGTCGTCCTCCACTCAAAGATCGGTGTCATTAACTAAAGACGATCCTGTTAGGCGAGGGCGACTAAACCGCGCAGAGAGCACAGAATAAAGCCACTTTGGATAAAAGCGTCCGCTAAATGACATGTAATGGAACTAGGGCCCTGTGACCAGATTGAGAGAACGTGGTATGTTTGCTTTCATATAAACACTCTAGCAAATGTTTATCTGGTTATTGGAACAAACACACTGTTGCGTTAGAGGATGACTGATCTATAGGCCGCTGAGATGTTTATGCTTGCTGTTCCTTCACTACAGGCGGAATTTGAAGAACTCTAAAAGCACAGGCGTCTGTTAGAAAACTCTGCTGTCCTACAAGCTACGAGTCAAAGCAGGCAGACATCTAGCCAGCCAGGTAAGACCATTAGAATCTATTTTAGACCAGATAATAACTAATCCCATAAGTCATTTTTTAATCCTGGCCCGCTACACCAGACAAAGCTGCTGGGGCAAGATCGTTTAAAATGTCGAATTGTTTCTTTGAAACTAAAGGTTATAATCGAAAAGAAACATATTACAATGCAATTTTTGTCCACAAAGTTGACCTGCTAGTTTTACGAAAAACACAGCAAGCCAATGACAAGCAAAGACACTTTAGAATTCCACAATCCAATGAGATCCAATCCAATCTGTGTGGTTTTGTAAAGCGTAATCCCACAAAGACAAGTGTATTGTTCTCAGCGAGGGAAACCCTCAGCAGTGTGACTTCACTCTCAGGCGGTGCGAGTTAACGGCACGCCATGTCTCCCCCGTCTGTGGGTCCCCCCCCCCCAAAAAATAGTGCACGAGGGAGCACAGGTCTGCCACCCCCGTCATCCCCGCCCTGCGGTACTCATTAAAACGGGCTCGTGCAGGGAGGGGGGGGCACTTCCGCCTACGTTGGGGCAAAAAGGCCTCGTAAAAAAAAAAAAAAAAGGGCAGCTAAAACACACCAGACTGTCTGGAGTTGACAACGCCTTGGCGACACATGACAACCTTCCCCAGACAACTCTCAATAGTTTCCTTCAGTTCTTCCTTTCAGCTGCGGTCTGAATGTGTGTGTATTTTTTTGTTGTTTTTTTCATAATGTCGGGTTGAAATAAGCCAGTCATTTAGCAGCCCGCGGGCGCTTGGCCACCAATGAGAGCTCTGGGCGCTGAGTCAGACCATCCCATCCGCCTAAGGGTACGGCCGCAGCAAATGAGGAGTTACGAGTGCCTGGCCTCCGTCTTCGCTCCAAACGTGACCCAGTCCATCGGTAGCGCGGTCGGCCCGCTGACTTAAAAAGCTTTCTTGAAGTTTCCTATATGCTTGGGTGGTCATTTTACCTGTGTGCCAGGATCGGGTTAACTGAAACGCGATGCTGGTGCTCCGCGTTCAGAGGGACTTTTCAATCTGCTTCAATCTCATTTCGCTGTCTTTGAGTTAGCTGTAGTAGTAGAAGTTTTTTTTTTTTTTTTTTGCCGGCCGTGTAAGATGAAACCAGTGGGAGTTGAGAGCCGTGGTCAGAATAACCCTGTTTATCCGGTTATTCTCAATTAATACGGGTGAAACTGAAACCAGCTCAAGGGCTTTTTAAATTCGGTAACCGTATCATATGCTACGTAACAGCGTTGAAATCGTATATACCTATTTGTCCAATGCATGTGTTGTTATTGTAATTTAGGGGTCAGGATTACAGGATCAAGTGGGGAAAAAAAGTTTAGCATTCATTTTCAAATAAGTTTGATTAAGTAAACCAACCTCAAAATCCCAAAACCTTCAAAAAAGTCTATTGGTGTAATGGTAACTGCCACCGTCGGCCCACAGGAAGTAACGGAAAGTAGAAATGACCGCTGTCGACCACGTTGACATAAAAGAAACTCAAACTCCATCCACTGACAAATAAATCAAAAGGATGCAAATTGATTAATTGAAAGCAAACTGCAAAATAAAAAGCACATTTTAAACCGGATACTACTTCCTCTGGAAGCATGTGGCGACTACATGTTGCTCATTCTCAACAAAAGCCTAGTGAGGAGTTGGTTTACAGTCTGGCGAGGTCCGCTGTGGAGTCAGGCGACTGGTCTTCACTTACCACAGTGAGCCCGACCCACAAGTCCAGTGTTATTACAGGCACTAATCCACCCCTTAAATCTAGGCCGCTCTTTACCATCTGGGAATATCGAGTACAGCTCCCAGTAGTTTGAACCGTTCGGTTTAAATGTGATAACCTGCAGAGCTGGAATAAGAGACGGACAGTTTGGTTGCCAACAAAACCACATTGGTCTGCGCAGCACCACCCCCACGCACAGACTCACTCAACAAATTACGCAACGTATGACACACGCCTCAGATATCTGTGTTTCTCATCATGTGAGTTGAAGCTACCGGGTCTGTACACACTGCATCTGCAGGTTCGGCCCGTCTAGGGGAAGATTGCACATATTACCCTGGCTGCGGTTTTAATAACTGCCGACATTTAACGGAGAGTGCGGAGGTGTCGGTAACAGTAAAAAGTCTTTCCTGCACTGCTCCTGTGGCTCATTCACAACCAGACCACAAACAGATGTTATTTTAATGTGGCCCTCTGACAAACTGGCCGTCGAGAGGGGCTCCTCCGACGCTTTGGGAGCGCGATGGCTTGGTCACCTTAGCCGGCGCGTGACACCTGGAGCTGCCTCAGGTAGACGGAACCGTCTGGTGCGTAGGCTAAAAATAAGGGGACTATTTCTTTTCTTTTTTTTAAAGGAGCCGACTGGCATTTCTTTTGCCATGAATCACGCATGCCTCACATTACTGTCAACCATTTTCCAAAACATATCATAGTGGTTAGGATCACTCAGTGTGTTCTTTTTCCTTCCTTCCAGGCAGCCATTGGTTTCCCCTGGTGGCCAGATGGTAACAAAATCAACTCCCAGAAACCTGCTTGACATATCCCATGGAAGCGAACATGGCGTCCGCTATTAAGTTTGTCAAAAGTAATGGCAGCGTTGCATGGCGATGCATTGCAGGATTTTTTTAACACTTACTCGGTGCAGAGCAAAATTCTTGCACTGAGCGTGTAAACAGCACAAGTGCAGGGAGAGGAATTTTAAACTGCGGCAGATTGCTCCATTGTGATACTGGCTAAAGTCTGAAGCGCTTGTTTGTTTTCATAAGACGTTCTTTACATTTGAAACAGAAACTCGTTCTAATGAGCTATGACTCACCCGAGGTTCTTTTTGTTGTATCGTGTAATGTCCAAGCCGAAAGCCAACGGGCGAAAATGTCAACACGCTGCAGGATTGTGTGATGAAGAATATGAAATGCTGGTGATGTTCAGTGTAAATTACAGGGGGCCCCTTTGATTATAGGGTCTTGAAAGGGTTCTATTTGCGAGGGTCTCTTTCTTCGCCAAAGGGTCACCACGGAAGATATGAATCACCCTAGGGTGAAACGTGAACCTGGACAGACAAGCGCATGAGCGATGTCCAGCAAAATTACAACCCTGGCGTTCAACCGTCCGGTAGGTTTCATTCTCAGATGATGAACTGCAGCTCAGCCATTATCTCACTTTCCTGAGGGCTGTGAGCATGAAAAAAGAAAATCCCTTCAGGAGCAGAAGCCTCAATGAGCGAGTGGAACACTGCAGTCACGGTGTTGGATCGTCTCAACTTTTATGACCGTGTTAAATGTGCGAGTGATCAAATGTCCCTTGATGAGCAATCAGCTCGGCCACAGAAACATGCGGGAGTTAACGCAGGAGAGAGTCCAACCAGGGGGGTTTGTGGTCTTCCTGTAGTTCTTTTTTTTTTTTTAAATGTCTAGGGAGCACCTCGTATCAGAACCACAGCGCATGTAATCATAACGGGTCGATTATGGTGTGAAAACGCACTCAATGCTCTTTTATTCAACGTTTTATAATGGAAATGTGTGTATTTGTCTTTCTGTGTGTTGAGGGTGGATTTCTTTAACCTGATCCGCTCCCATGACACTAATAAAAACAAATCTTTCTGTTTACGTTATTGACAACGTTTTTATTTTAAATGACAGACCGCGTCCTCGCACTGTATCCATGGAAAACGGACACTCTATAACGGATCTCTCACGGGGAAGAAGTGACGTTTGCATCGCTCGCGAGGCCGATTTATTTTATTATAGCGTGTTATTCCCCTATACTTATACACCACTTACGCCCCGACGACTTCATCTGAACTTTTCAACATTTGTTGCCACCACATCATGTATAAGAGCGCGGTCTCACCTGGACGATCTGCCGGGGCTGCACGGACAGCGTGGGGAAGTTTCCACGGCCGTGGATCGGGACGCTCTCCCCCAGGATGGAGTCCAACCGCTGCACCTGATCCCAAGACAGCACGCTGACCCGCCGACTCTGCCCCTGGGTACCACCGGAGGACATGGCGACCGGAACGGAACGGAACGGGATGTCCACGGAGAGAGTGTATGTGCGTGTGCGTGTGCGTGTGTGCAGCGCGGCGCAATCCCTCAGTGGAGCCGGCGGTGTTCGGACAGGTGCGTAAAAACGCGGACAGCGGCTCGCTACGTCTCCTCTTCAGCGGTCCAAGTGCGATGAAGTGATGGCAAAGTTGTGTGAAGTATCGGTCATCTCCAAAAACAGAAGCTCCCAGTCTCTCTCTCTGTCTCTCTCTCTCTCTGTCTCTCTCTCTCTCTCTCTCTCTGTGTCTCTGTCTCTCACCCTCTGTCTCCCTCTTCAGCGACTCTCTCCACAGAGGCGCGCTCCCTCGCGCGCCGGCCTTTTACTGAGCTGGGATAGACTGCAGCCTCCTGATTGGCCACCGCTTTACGAGCGCGTCTGCCGTGCATGTACGCGCGCGCGCCGGTTTCGCACGCGTCGGGTGAGAGGTTCAAGGAGTGTAAGAAAATATGGTGCTCGCTGGTTGGTCGAGGATGTTTGGAAGTGCATTCATTTAGGCTGAACCATTCGTACTTACTGAGCAACGTCGTTTTTCAGATGTGGAATGAAAGTTGAAAAAAAAAAAGAATGTTTTCTTTTCCTGTTCAAACAGTTACACGAACAACAAACACGTCTTAAAAGGGCACAAAAAAGTCAAATAGGTAAGTCTCTCATGACCAAAACCTCTCCCAACTATATCGCACAAATAAAATGTCTCGTTTCTGTAGCTGGTTTAAAAGCTCAAAGGAACGACGGCATCAGCCCGTTTTATTAAGGCCCTAAAGGTCAGTGACATAGAGGCACAAAGTTCCTCTAGAGGAGGACAATTATGACAAATATTGTGTTTGAAGGGACCTATACAAACTGTCATGGAAAACCATCCAACAAACAGAAAAACGTAATTTTGGTGACGAGCAATAATTAAGAAGCTCAGTAAAGTCATTCAGATTAATTTGCTTGGGACCATAAATGTCCGCAAAATATTTCCGGCCAGTCCCACCAGCCAACAGGCGATTTACTGCAATGAAGCTGACATCTGTCCTACGTCCAATCTCTTTTTTTTTTTTTTTTGCATATGATTGGAAAAGTAGAAAATCTATTTACGGTATTTATTTCAATCTAAACATCCAGGTTCGTTTGAGAAACGAAATGGCAATCCAACGTTTGTCCACCATCACTTTCATCTCCTGAAGTTACATTTGATTAAAAAAGAATCACCAAAGAAAGTCTTTGAAGGCGTGATTACTCTTTAGGGACGTCCGTTTTTCACTGTCTGAAGATGACAGTGAAGTAAAACATGTGGGACTGAATCATCTCAATTGTTAAATTATAATTATAATTCTAAGCAGTTTCTGTTTCCTCAATAATAATCAGTGATGGGTGTGGTACTTTTGAAGTGCAACTATTCAGGGATGTGCACATTTCGGTCAGAGCCTTGTGTGTACTTCCTCTGAGCTCATTTGAGGTTTTACATTTATTAATCGATCTTTACTGAGGACTGTGTGCATTGCGCTAACTTTTATAAATATGAAGTTAAATCCTGATCAAAACACCCTTTTTTAAAAACACTTTGCAAAGTGGGCAATCTCTAAAAAATATTCACCGAGTCCCACTGCCCAACGATTAAAGTATCGCAATGCTTTTAAATTTGTAATATCACACACTGTTTTTCGGTGGGGACGTTTTGGGAAAAAATGCTTCCACTCAGGTTCTCTCTTCTGCATGAAAAGCCGCCACGCTTTACTGCTGCTGCACCAGAGAATGACCTAAACTGTCGTCCCTCGTCTGTCAACACCAATGTGCTGCCGCGGCTGTGACGAAGCTTTTGTTTAAAAAAAGCTTGTTACGCTCTCCTACAACTAAGGACAGACGGCCCCCCCATGAGAATGTTTCTGGGTTCATGGGGACAATTCTTCTTTTTCAGTAACTGAGAACACAGGAAATAAAAAAAGGTTGAAGCTATTTTGGCTGTTTGACTCTGAAGTGACAAAGTGGAGAGAGGGAATACCTGCAGCTGACCGGCAAACGGACACACGTCAACACGCCTCCCTGACACACACACACACGCACACGCACAGCAATTAACCTCCCTGCTGCCTGTTGTGTCATTTTGCATTAGGCCCTAAGTGGTTGAACTGGTTTAATTGTCGCCGGCCGGCCCGGCCTAAGTAGTGACACGGTTTAGACCCACGCCGGGTCCTTTGAGCTCTGGTTTGCACGCCAGCCTTGTATTTGTTCTGAAAATGCCGAGTCATCGTATCATATAAGAATGTGAAACCATACGCTGAACGATGTCCCTTTGCACGCCGTTGTTCATGATCGGCGCTTCGGGCAGCTTAACAACAGCAACAATGGCGTTAGCGCGCCTTAAAAGGGGAAAGCACGCCACTCGTGTGTAATGGGATGGCGTCCGCTCTACCTTTTTCTCTTCCTCTTGCAACCTTTCCTGGAAGGAAACAAAGATCAGACACACACACATACTGGTGTTGACAGGTTAAACAGCGACATTTTACAGCTGGCTTTTGTCACGTGGAATCAACGCTCAGACGGATTCCAGCTATTAGCAGCTTGACATTCAGAGGGATTTCTCTCGCAACATTTATATCAGCGTTTCCGTTTCCAATGGCCTGCTTATCATAATTTAGAAATATTGACCAAAAGAAGAAGAAAAAAAACATCATCAGGAGGAATTACTGCAAAGTTTTATCTCTGGAGGACGAGATAGCATCTAGTACGCAACTGATCTCTGTGAGATAATGAAGCGTTGCAGAGACGACTTTCGTTTCAGGAGCATATTGCACTAAAAAGACGGGTCCCCCGGCTGCACCTCTGCTACTCATATCATTTCCCCTCCAACAAAACCGAATGTGTGCGTATGTCAGTAACTATAAGGTCAGAGCCTGCAAACGCAACACTCGTTCTGACTCCAGTTCTGAAAAAAAAGTGCGTTGTACGTGCCTGAGAGCGGCGACCTGTTGCTGGGCTGCTCTGCCTCCAGCGTGACACGGTTGGCAAAGCATCACAGCACGAAAACATGCGTCACTGATACCGGTTAGTTGGAGAAGACTGCTGGTTCTTTACAGGAAGTGATCACATCAAAGTATCGAGGGAAATGCGGCATGAGTGCTGCTCGCAGTGACACCTTTTGTACGGTTTTCACACGCTCCAAAAAGGTGTTGACACAAAGTTAGAAAAGAGCAGGCAGGTGGAGCATTCAGCAGGTAATGTAATAACAATAAACGTGTAATTTGTTGGTGTAAAAGACACAAAACCAAGAGTGTATTCCGTTGAAGATGAACCAAAAGCCTGAGGTCTGTCACGTGTAATTAATTTGTACAGCCAGTGTATCTACCATCTACTAAAGGATGACATACTTTAAAATCACTCTGAATTGGCTATCGTGCTCCGTTACCGCGTTAAATCCCACATGTACCAAGCGTTTGTCTTTGACAAATGGGGGAAATATCTCTCGTCCGACAGCGATCTTACGAGCAAATAGATCGGCACGTTTCTGTCATTCAATCCACAGAGTTCACTTCGATTACGTAGCATAAGTTAGCGTTTGGCCGTCGTCCTGCTGTTTGAAGAAACAAACTGCCAGTCTCGTTACAGCGGGTTGAGGTGTGTCCGCATATTTACCTCCAAAAACGGGGCCTTTGTCTGATCGCTTTGAACACCTGCGACGTTGCCATCTTTCAGAGAACATTCGCTATCCGCTTTGGACGATAAGAAGCCTCTGTGGCTCCGTGCCGGTTTCACAGAGTCGTCGCCCCTCGGCTACAATGTGGTCCTCCGGTTTTTTTCCGTCGTTTGTGGCAATCTCCTAATAAATAATCCTGATTTGAAAGAGTCAAAGTTAACTTCTGACCTTTGGCAGAATGCTTTGTTTCTGCCTTTCTTTTTGTATCCTGCTTAGTCTGGGACTGTTTAAGGCAGTCATAGGATACAGTAACGCATTCATATTTGAAAGTGGGACCCTTTCATGTGTCCACATGGAAGCGTTTAATGCAACGGACTGGGTTGGTCGAAAACCACATGGCGAAACTGAGAAAAAGCCTCCTGTGTAATCAGCAATCATCAATATGTTGACGTCAAGCAGTGTTGTAACAGACCACGTGTAGCAATAACCTTAAATTAGTCGTCATCTACATCATTAGTTTCTGTCCGTCACCTTACAGGCCAGAACCTCGTAAATAAGGTTGATTTTTATGCACTAAGAAATCCGATGCAACGGTTCAAATTACATCACACGAAAAGTTGCATCTTCAATTAAACTAAAAAGCACGTGGCTGCATAGTCCGTTTCACATGGGAGCAGTTGAGTCATATCATTATAATTGGATAAAAGTTAGCAAACGTGGTTTAAACTTAGATGTGGGCCGAACCTCAGCACCTCAAACACTTGTGGCACTTTTGGACCATTGGCAATTTGACAATCACAGCTTACAATTTGGACATCACGTTACTGCAGCGCTTACTAGTTTCCTCAAATTAGAATAAGACCCATTCGCACAAGTTGTTCTTTGGTATGTGGTAATGAGAATTTCAGCTCCTTTTAATGTCCCCAAATAAATGCGCCTTTACAATGGATGAGCCTCATTTTCAGCCAGTGCAAATCCACTTTTATTTTGTATTATTTCTCCCCATTTAAAACCGGATTCATTGAAGAGGGACCTAAACGCAGAGCAGCATTACACAAAACACATGATCGGGAGGGATCAAAACGTGCTTTATGAGGTGTAATGCATAAAAAAAACGAATTCTCCGTTAGGGGTAAATCCGTTTTCTCCATGGCATCAAACAACAAACACGTCTAGTTGGCGTTATCGCGGCTCCACTTCCCGCCCGGTGTCGGGCAGCTGATGCTGGAGGCTGATGTGCGCTCACCTCGCTTGGTCCTTTGAAGCAGCAGACCCCGCTGCTCCTGGTCCATCTCCAGGGGATAAGACGTGGCTTGTGTTGGGATTTCCACCCCGTAACCCAAAAAGAACACCTCCTGGGGTGGAATATTGAATCCACCTGTGGGGTTTGGGTTACTGCAACTTGCCTGTCACTGTCACTTCTACCAGATTAAAACCACATTTAGAAAGGATTAGTTTTATAGCGTTGTGTGCAGCGAAGTGATCATTACCAGTTGGGCTGGATTTTTACCATCATCCTCTACACAGATTCTGTTTCTATGAGTTGTTGGTGCTCTTGAGAGTAGTCCGTGTTTTTGACAATAATGTGAATTAATGCAATTATTCAAATGGAAGGAAAGTAAGTAGTGGTGTTTGTCCTTGATACCAAATAAATAGATGACTATGTCATCGAGACATTTCTCACATAACACAATAAAAGAGGAAATAAGAGGCATCGTCCATTAGCCATTGGGTGTTTTTTATGCAAATGTGGATCTGCCAGATCTATTTGAGGAATGCCTACGTTACCATAAATGTTTCTTTCGCTCTGGTTGTGACTCATCTCTTTGTGGAAAAAAATGTGCGCTTGCGGACACGAAAGTATGTCAGACCGAGTTGCTTTGCTCTGTGGGACACCCCCAACCTTTGGCCAGAGGCGAGTCCTAAAGGCGATCTAAAGTAAACCCCCCTCCGTCCAGCAGCAGAGCTCCACGGCCGTCCATTCATGTTTTTCATTAGCTATAAACCTGCAGCTCGGGCGCGTACGCTGGCTTACCT